CCTAAATAATCCGATTTGCTAGTCTGCATTTTCCTTGAAGCACGGCTACATGCATTACACATGGGTGAATAAAACATCTGAATTTTATACGTTTAAATGCAAACAGTCAATCTTGATCAGACAAAAGGAATTCACCGTGATATAGTCAGGAGTACAACACCCAGTCTCTCTGAGGGACTCATATGCAAACGTTTCATCTTCAACCCACGTGACTAAACAAGTAACACATTACCTAGTGTGTAATCAATATTTATTCTCACACACACGCTCCTGTGTTAATTCGCAGAATTTAAGAACATTCGCAACAACTTTTAAAGTTCTAAATATAATAGACATGCAGAATGCATTTTCCTCAAAAAGATCTACATTGCGTACGATTTGCACACAGTATAAACATGATTTGCTTGTTGAAGGAACTGGATTCTCCAGCATCACCTGCTTCGTTGATAATGGGGCGGCAATTTCTGGCGAAGGGCATATGCGCTGACAAGAGTATTCGGGTCGAGTGAACTGTAGTCATGTTTTAATCGTTCATACGAAGCTTTGAGTCAATCGGCCAGCTCTACTGAATGATTCTGCAGAAATATAAATGACAGCCTTGTCATTTATTGGGCTATTAAGTGTTTATGTGAGTACTGGTTAAAGATGTATGTCTGTTCAGACAAATCTAAGGTTTCTGTCTACATGACAAAATGTTAGTGAATTTCATCTAGGTCAATCTCAACGACCTGCGATCAGATTGCTTCATTCCGTCGTTTACGTCGCCTTTCACAACTAAAATCTAATCGTCGGTAGCATAATAAGACGTCTAAATAGAGATGAGAATTCTGGATAATGGCAACATTTAAACCACTTTTTATCTCAAAGTTCCACAGTGATGTGGATCACCATTTCCTGGCAGGATTGCTGAACCCTGAAGATAGAAGATAGTGTGCCTACACACTGCTGGAATGTATGAGTCTTTAAGAGCGATTGAATTATAATCAGAAAGTTACCAGTAACGATAAGATTCAATTGCTAGCAATGATTTTTCTTATTCGGCTATCTGTTCCGCTGGCGTAAATGGTCCAAGATCGATCCACTCGTTTAACTTGTCATCAAAACTAGCTGCAACCCCTACGCGATAGGTTGGTTCACGTCATCCGCCCACGTTCTTCAACCACTATGACATGAGCTATTTTTCCATCCTCTTGCTCAGTTCCCGGTGTGCTGGTGAATGAGCACACCAATACGAATACCGTCAAACGTGACGGCTTGTGCTTGCCACAATCAGAGTTGGTGACATGGTTTTCGTTTTACATTAAGCCATCGACCTCAAGGATCACGTTGGCGAATTACAAAAGAGTTCAGTTTGTTTAGTTAGGTGTTTATAAAGCATATCGTTAAAGTACGATTAGATGACTAGGCATTAAAAACACGTATAAACAAGCGTTTTATTTAAATAATGAGAGATGAAGTGCTATGTCGTTTTAGTGAAGCTGATATGGCAGCTTTGTCCCCAGTATGCCGTATTTTGTCATCCGTTTATTCTACATTCACCACTCTAGAAGTGTAGACACCGATTTCACATAATCTACCTTAGACCGCTTAACCTAACGAGTAGATTCATGAACTACATACGTTAAGCCATTCTCACTGTATGTAAAAACGATTAATATTTCAATGAAGATGATACTTTGAAAGTTTATCACGTTTTTCATTGGACGGGTGTGTTGATCAAAACTAAGGTTTTTGTGGTGGGACGAAAATTTTTCATGATTACTCTTTGCCATTTGTACGTGTAATATATTTCAGATTTGTTGGTGAGATTTGATGTACACTGAATAAGCAATCGATGACCAGGGCTTGAATCAGACGATGTGGTAGAGAGGGATCAAAGATACACAAAGAATCATCCACAGAATTGGTAATTAACGATCATTGTAGATTAAATGGTTGGGAGTGGAAAGGAGTGGATTTGGAGAATTGAAGACATAGAGTCAAGTCAAATCAGTGCTATAGTTACTCACTCTGAGAGGTGAATTTTCGGATTTTCTACGTACACGCGTCTTCAGCAAATGAGGATCATTTGAATAAGTGTACCAGGGTCACAGAATACTAGGTATAAGCGTGGAATACCAGGACAAGTTATGAAAATCGGTCACAGCCGGTTTCACTTGGGAAAAATCTTCTGATTTGGTTTCCAAGTTAATTCAAGAATGAGAAGAGTGAGTTTGTGCAGAAATCGAGCTAAATAAGAGAAACGACAGAAGTGCGGTACATCTAGTGGAGGAGCGCATAAGTCACAATGGACAGATTGCTCAACTAGTGGGGAATAGTGGGAGGGGATTTAGGCACCGGACATAAAACAGAAGAATCCGGACCTTGATGAAAACACAGATAACATGAAGTGACCATGTCTTGTTCTTACGCACAGTAGTTCGCAGATGTTGAACGGAAAGCATTCAATGTAAAGTCTCATTATTCATATGAGCATGTATTAAAAAGTTTCAAATATTGATTCATTTCAATGACTGTAATCAAAATGTTGACACATTTGGATGTGTTATAAGACAAACTGCAAGACTATAACCAATTTGTTGGTTCGGATAAACTGTCCATTAAAGTGAGTGTCAAAACACTAGTTCAGTATTTGATGTCCAACACCGCATCAATGGCATATTTGGTTACAAATGTGTGATTGTTCGCTGACATGGATACAATCTAAGTGAGAGCATTACGCCCTGTAGAACACCAAATCCAGTGATGAGTGACATCAAGCGTGTGCAACGAATTGAGTAAATTTACTTTGATTTGTAATCACGCAAAAGCTCGACAGTTGAGGTTTGAATTCCAGATTCTTTGAGAAGTTGAGGTAATTGCTCTATCAACGCTTCCAAAAGTATCGCTGTAGTCTGAGAAACAGATGCACAGCGCTGTTGATTTTCCATTAAACCATGACAGAATGAAATAAACTAGACGAGTCACAATACCCAGGGTTGAACGTGAGCAACAAGAGGTAAACTGACTATATATATAATATTCGCCTGAACTTCCATCTTATCGAGACTTTCTTTCTGAAAATCTTCCAGTACTGTTGATTTGCATGAGATCGGACGAAATTTGTTCGTTCCCTTTTGAGAAATTAGTGTGATGCTGGCCGCCCTCTAACAGTCAACAATTTTACTTTGTTTGAAACATTGAGTGAATAACTTAGCTAGAGGTTGGCATCACTGCAGCTTTCTCTTCTTGGAATCAACATTTATGTTCTCCTAAAATCAAATAATACAAACGTAATATTCATACCACTCATTCTATAGTCTTCATTCAACAACTGTCAACCACAGAGGACAACCGCCATATGTACTGCATGGTTCCCGTCCTCATTTTGGTCAGGAGACTGTAATCCAATGCAAAACCATATTTCTTTACTTTGGGAGCAGACAGACGATTGCTGACTACGCGGCCACTCAAACCAGTCCTGCGGTTGTACGTAAGCTGATCGGCGAATACTCAACTCTGCAATATATGGTACGACAATGAATCAAGTTAGTGTTATATGGCCGGGTAGCCATGCCCCAGTAGCGCAGTCGGTTAGCGCGTCAGTCTCATAATCTGAAGGCCGTGAGTTCGAGTCTCACCTGGGGCAGTGTGGTTTTCCAACTGTGTGACACTGGGTTCGACCTGTTCCAAGACGAACAGAAGTTGCCGAGACCCAGGGTGTGATAATTCAGTCGTGCCTGACGGTGGCCAGGATATGACCAACCGGTGGCCTGTAACGATGGGTGCAGTTTGCAAACGTACATCCCCTTAACTTGATTACAAATGAGGGAATATGTGCAGCGGCAGGGTTTTCTTCCTAAGCTTAGGTATGATATCAACGCTATTGAGTGCAAATACGATTGAGAGCCAAATTTAATGCAAGCACGCAAGATGTCCTCAACCGCTGATTCAGCCCTCAGTGGAGTGGAACTACTTATTCTTAGCCGACATTTGAGCTCAATGTTTGCGCATTTCTGATAAAGTCATTTGGGAGATCACCTCGACTCTTCTGAGAAGAGTTCTATGCGGTGAACGATGACAAACCACAGTTTGAACGATTTGTAATGGTTTAATCAACCAAAACAGAACGAGTCACTGACAAGACGAGGTACGCTGAGTTGAATAGGTCACCATGAACAAAAGAAGAACAGCGCCAGAGGATAGGTTCGGATAACGTGGGAAAAATAATTCCACGCACAGCGTAAAATTACAAAACGTTGAGCGTTAGTAGGTCAGCAGGCAAACGGAACTAGACCAATTTCACTGCACAATTGCTTACCCAACCCAAAATCCACCCGAAGGGGTGGGTGGTGCGCGGAAAATTCCGTTTTGTTGTTGTTGCCAGTCAAATTCAAAAATAATGATGATGCTTTCAAACAAGAGTACAGATGAATTCAACAACAAAGTATGTATAAAACGTACAAAGATGAATTACAAAATATAACCATAAAAAGTGGACACTACAGATTTACATACTAAAAAATGTAGATATAATTGACTCGTTCTGGTTGAATTTGGTCTACACTGAACAACATGGAAGATAATCACAAACATCAAGAGAGATAACAACCTTGTATCTCATTGATCAACATGGTACCATAATAGCTGACAGCGGGCAAACAATGTTTCGGTTATAGCTATTTAGTGCTTCATACTGTATCATTATGTGTGAAGGTAGACAACATTATCCCTTTTGGTTATGTTGTGTATTGAAAACTGCAGACAAAAGTTCGAGGTATGTGAAACTAGTTTTAATACGGTCGGAAATGTGTGGCTCAAACAACAGATACCGTCTAATGTAGACCACACCACGACATGAGAACTAAGATTAAAAAGTAATCAACTAATCAATCTTAAACTTGTTACCACGAAGCAAGAGTTGGACATCACTGATTTCTTATCGTTAAACGAAATCCGTTCAATTTATTCTGTTAGCTCATGACCAGTGGAAATTCGATTCAAAAGATGCTAGGTCACTTTGGCTTCTACCAACATGATTTATTTAATAAAGTCGAACTTTGATCAGTTGGCCACAGGAAACATCTAGCGTAATGCGGATGCCTTGTAATACGCTTGTCTGCTAAAGTAATGTTGTCTGAGGATGTAATCTTCACGTACGAGTCTACGTTTTTTCCTCTCAATGGAGTTAATAATTTGGGATCAAAATACTACTCTTACGATGAAAAGGACATACCATAGCTTCAACCCTAAGAAGTTGATACGGTTTTGAATGTGCACCTCTACAGCATTTGGTTTCTTCCCGTGTAGTCAACGGCTTCACGTACCTTGAATTGTTTTGTTCAAATTAATAGCTAGTAGTCTGTTGCGTTCATGAGAACGTGCTACAGCCGTACTCATTTCCACACTATTTAACTATTTAAACCAACGGACTTACTGTCTAACTCTGTCTCTCTGTTTTATCTAACAGAATATATGTCTGCTTTTCGTCGACCCTCAGAGTCAAAGCTAAGTGCATGACTGCTTATTATAGGATCTCCAGTTGGCTAATAGTTGAAAAGTCACCAGATTTCACCACTTAAAATCATCAAAGATAAGCATTTTGTGTTCGTCCACGTAAATGGTTACAATATAAATGCTTCTGTGTTCATGATTAAAGTGTGATCGACTAGTTTTCAATATTTACATTTCTCCTAATTATTGCCAACCCGTAGAGTTTCTTTTATCCTACAATTCACTCATGGTAGTTTCTGTCACGCTGATGATGGACTGTCCGTATTTGTCTCCAAATCCACGTGGAGTCATAACTAAATTCCAGTTTTCCAACAATCCATTTGTAAAACTACATCACGATATTCATCCATCGATCCACGTTATTCGTGTGTATCGTTTTGGTTCAAGTCTCCGTGTCTTCCTTACTTCAAGTCATCTGATAATTCACTCGAGGCCATGTAAAAGTGACTATTTAGTTGTCTGTATCATGTGTAATTGCACAGCCACATTGGCACGAGCCAGTTCAGACTTCAGTTTCTGTTTGAGGTTATTTTCTAGACGATTCTCCACGAATTGTAGGAATGGAAACATTTTCCTTTTGAGCCTTTTACATTGATTAAGTCTGGTTATTCATCTTGGTATCCCCATCTAGGAATTTTTTTTCATGACAGTTATTTGAGCAAACAGTGAGAATGCGTATCCCTAAAACTGGCTCGTGAAATATATTTTCGCATGGGTAATGCATAAAAATCATACTGCCAACCATTAACACGCAATTTTACACCATAGTAATATATGTTTTTACAAGAAGTGTTTTGTAATCGATTCATTTTAACAAACGAAAATACGTTTACTGCCTAAATAAGCCAATTTCAAGAAGATCCAGTAATAGACTACTTACAGTATACCTAACCGATTTTATATACCTATCAGCCGTTTATGTCTAGGAGGACAAGATATCGGATCAATTGGTGGGTCATTTGCTGTTAGTTTTTACTTTCAAGGCATGCTTTTTGTCAGTAGTTATATATTACTCATTAGTAGGTAGTTGTGTTTGCATAAATACAGTAAGAACGCCAGCGATCTCAGTATTGGCTGACGTGAGCTGACAACGTAAACCGTGGTAACTGATTGGTACGCAATGTGACGAAGTACAAAGGCGGTTGAGTCTAGTACCACCCCTTGCGCTTAGGAGTTATGTTAACTAAGAATATTCATCGAACACCACATATACATTAATAGATTCGGTGCAGTTTCCACAGCATTTGAGGCAGGTTATTAATGTGCGATTGGAATGACATAAGATAGGATAGGTAACTGAGTTCATAGGTAAATTTCTGGACTGTCGTGACTTTCTACCTTAAGTGTTAAAATGCTTGCTCCTTTTGCGTATGCTTTTCTGCTGATAGTTCAACTCCAGCCTAAGTAAGGGATTCTCACATTTTTAAGAAACATCAAAGTATACTTAAACTCTATAACTAATCGTTAAACTTCCAGAACTGCATCCAGCTGTAGATGCTTATCAATACAAACCTACCAGCAAAACATATCGTCGCTTAGCACGACCAAGAAACTGCACACAAACGGTTGCCGCTGCTTCTACTGTATCGAATTTCGAAGCCACAGTCGTGTTAAAATCCGACCTGACCCAATTCTCCCAACACGTTTACCCCTGTATATTCTACCACCCTGTTTCTGGCCGTTAATTGGCCTTGACCTAGATGTTTTGTTTTATCGCTTCAATTGATAGTTGTGCGAATAGCCACTTGTCGATTTTTGTAATTTGCCTGAGTGGTGGTTGAATCCCTTTTTGGAGCTCGGCTCGTCCCTGTCGTTTTTGAACCCGTTGATTGCTCGAAAGAACTCTGTTGGGTATGAATGTCATATTATGTGCTTATAGTTAATCTTTAGCCTATTTGGCATCAAGTTGTAATTATCTCCCGGAAACGATCCGTCAATCGAAACTGTTGAGGTTGTCTACTTATTAACTTTGATCATTTGTTCAATAGTACCGTGGCTTTGTGAACCAATCTCGTTTGACCATTTGGGATCGTTGGTTTCTTGCTACGCGTTGCTCAACGTCTTCGTGGAAGATCGTACAGCTACCATCATGGTCATCACGAAACAATGACTATTTTATTCAACAGAACATTGAATAATATTTGTCAAAACTATCAATGGCGATAGGCTACTGGTGAATAATTTGGGGCTTTGGCTTTCTGAAGTTCTACAGCAAATACATTGTGTATCACTTTATCAAAATCTGCCTGATAAGAGAGCAAGCCGTAACAGGAAAGCCGGTCTGATCATCAAAATGGGCAAGAGCAAAAGCCAATACACGATATCTCCTTATTCTGCCTGCGCATTTGGCTGATAGCCACTGGAGTGTAACCGGTCCGATCATGTTAGGTCAGCGTGGGTGAAGTGGCCGGTTCAGTGTGGACACAGCTGATAGTTTGGTTAGCCTCACAGTGTGAAATGTGAAAACATCAAACGTGGCTGAACCCTGTTAACTTGTCTTTCGTTGTTTTTCCATGAATGGAGACAGGTATGCATACACGTCTCTTAGTGAAGAATTTGGAAATGTATCCCTAGCACACATATTGCTAGTGACCTACGATGTGTGCTGCTACCCACACACGTTCTCCTGACGTCATCACGGGGAAACAGCGTAGAAGGTCTACGTAGTACTAAAAATGATAAAATAGATACTTTGTTTTATTAACAGCAAAAATTTTTCAACCACACGGATGTTTATGTTCAGTCATTTGTCGAATCCACACGGAGATTGCTTGCCATAACAGTACCCAAAGGTACTGCAACGTGCTCGGCGAACTGCAAACAAAAGTGTTTTTCGAATTTCACATCACTGCTTGTGAGTACTGGACTGAAATGCTGTATATTTACCCACTCGAATATCAATGACGTTAATATCTCAGTTTTGACTATTTGCTTTCCGCCGAAGGTCTTTCGGAACAATTCTTCATTTTGCAAGTCGAAACGGCCTGTGATGTAGCAATAAATGTTTTATCCAGTACAGACTCAACTTCTTGTAGGACAAATTTACTTTTCCCAAATGGAGATGATCCATTATAGTCACGTAGTAATTGTATATAATAATAATTTATATAGTCGCATTCATTCGTACATTTTTAA